TGGCTGCAGTGTTGATTTTAAAGGGGCAATATTATGTGTTTCTCAGAAATATATTTAAATATTATACCATAATAAAGTATCTATGTCACCTTTAGTTGTTATTAAAATGCTGTTTTGTGTTTAAATAGAAAATTAACTTATCTTCTCATCACTTCCTCTTCTAAACACCTTGAAACTGGCCTATGTCTCTTTAAGAACCATCTTACGCTTTCATTTTGCCCATTTCGGTGCGGGGCAGGGGGCTGCTATGATGCAGTTTACTTGGCATCTGAAAATACATTTCCTCAAAGCTATTTTTAATCTGAAAAGAGCTTCACTGAGTGAGAACTAGTGTTGAGAGCTCAGCAGACAGTTAGGTTTCACTTTCACTTTCACCTGAGAGCCTGCAGGAGTCATGGGCGGGGTGTGAAGGGGGCTGCTATGATGCAGTTTACTTGGCATCTGAAAATACATTTCCTCAAAGCTATTTTTAATCTGAAAAGAGGTTCACTGAGTGAGAACTAGTGTTGAGAGCTCAGCAGACAGTTAGGTTTCACTTTCACTTTCACCCGAGAGCCTGCAGGAGTCATGGGCAGGGTGTGGGGGGAGAGGGGGAGGGGGGCTCCGCCATGAGGAAGCTCAGCTTAAAGACACGTCCCAGGGGCGTTTCTGGTCCCAAAAGGAGTTTCTGGTCCCCACCTGTCGTTTTGCTCCTCAGCATGGCTTCCTAAAAACGCTGCAGGATTTCTCAAACATGCATGAATGAGTCAGAACAAGGCTTTGGGCATGTTTTTATGAGAGTATAACATTATGACATGATATAAAACTCAAAAAAGTTGATTTTACATGATATTGCCATTTTAAAATATGTGAACAGGGGAAAACATGTTCATCCAACCTTACATGTTGGAGCCAGAGTCTGACCCAGAGCCAGAGGAGAATGAAGACCACTAAACTTTTTACATGATTTTACATGATATTGCCCCTTTGATCAAAAATGGCTACTGTACTTTTCAACATTAGTCAACACAAAATTGGATACAAGTCATTTAGTTTAACAGATAATTGATGTAGTAGCTGAGAGTCATTCAGAACACTCTGCTCTCGACAATCTTTAGAATAAAAAAAAAATCAACATTCTTATTTGATGAACAACACTCACTCACCATTACTCTGAAAGAAATACTTTCAAATCTAAAAGTAAAGGTTGCTGTACTGATGAGAGGCACGCATATAATTAAAAAAAAGTTTGGCCAACTCCCTAGTTATTTACCAGATATATGATAGTAGGAAATAGTGGTAATAAGAGGACATTTACCTTTAACTTTGGTTCCTCCCACTAAATCTCTGTGTTTCTTTTCCTCCCAGTAATTAAATGTGATTTTTGCTTTTGTCTGATTGTAACATGAGACAGTGCACATATTGTAGTAAGTTGTTGTCAAGTTTTGTCAGAAAAAAACTGCATCATTTCAACAGAAGAGCTCAATCTGAAGCTCTGACATACAGTAAAAATGTGAAAAATTATTTTCCTTCGCAAAAATTGAGCTCTTTAATTCAACATGTAATTATTTAAGAATGCACTCTGTTCTCTGTCAACAGTTTAATAAAGGACATATTGAAGTCATCATCTTTTCTTCTGAATGTCTGAGCTGAACCTCACTAAGTGTGGTTTTTAGAAGTACAGTGGTCTTCCTGAGGAGCCATATTAATTATGTGTTTAGATATGTTGGTTTGGAATCAAACATGCCGTCCCCTCTTTGTGTTTGCGCCAGTTCACTCAACAGCAGATGATTATTTTCAGTCGGGCTGTGAGGCTCTGATATGGTGAATGTATAGACGAAGGCTGAAATCACTTCCATCTGCAGTCTGGAGCAGAAAGCAGAGCCACATGATTTAACCGCAGGAATGTTTCTGATTATTCTGTTTCAGCAAAGAACTGAACCCTGGACCAACATCAGTGTGTAGCAGAGCTGAAAACCTGAACATAAAGCCCGTTCTCAATTAAATTACTGTCAACTACACCAGAGAACGCACACATCTGGAAAAAGTTGATTCATTTTGTATATTTTCTTCTAAAGGTTTGTAGAGACTTGACATGTTCAGCTATGAATCTGGATTTGAGGATTGGAGCTTTGGAAAGCTGAAATCTGAGACCTCCTCTTTTATTGGAGTTATTGGAGAAACTACACAAACTGATGCGTGGCTCGGCAACTCTTCAGGACCAAACTCATGTTGGACAGAGAAGACAGATGGTTTTACCTCTCCATCATGACAGAAGTGTAGTTCAACCTGCACGTGATTCTGCAAAATGAAGGTTTTCATGAAGTTTAAAACTTGGAACTCCAATTATTAAAACGTCCTGGATGAGAGATGAAGCATCTACTGCAGACTAGAAGTTCTCATTTCTTTAAAATGATTAATTTTGGGATTTAAGTCCAAAATTCATATATTGTGGTGAGACCAAGAACATTGGGCCTCATGCAAAAATCGTTCATACGCACAGATTTGTTCTTAAGTTGTGCGTACGAGTGATTTAGGAGAATTTGTGGCATTCACCAATGTTTTCGTA